CGCTCCGTTGCCAGGTGCCAGGCTGGAGTGCAGTGGCGCAATCTCGGCTCACTGCAACCTCCACCTCCCAGGTTCAAGCAATTCTCCTGCCTCAGCCTCCCGAGTAGCTGGGACCACAGGGGCGCACCACCACGTCCAGCTAATTTTTGTATGTTTAGTAGAGACGGGGTTTCACCATGTTGGCCAAGATAGTCTCGATCTCTTGACCTTGTGATCCGCCCGCCTTGGCCTCCCAAAGTGCTGGGATTACGGGCATGAGCCACCTTTTTTTTTTTGAGGCAGAGTCTTGCTCTATTGCCCAGGATGAAGTGCAGTGATGTGACCTTGGCTCACTGCAACCTCTGCCTCCCAGGTTCAACCAATTTTCCTGCCTCAGCCTCCCTGAGTAGTTGGGATTACAGCCACACATCACCACACCTGGCTAATTTTTGTGTTTTTAGTAGAGACACGGTTTTTCCATGTTGGCTAGGCTGGTCTTGAACTCCTGGCCGAAGGTGATCCACCCATGCTGGCCTCCCAAAGTGCTGCGATTATAGGCGTCGGCCACTACGCTCGGCCCTACCGTTCCTTTTTGCCAGAGCACCTGGCCCTACAATTTCTTTCTTTTTTTTTTTTAAGACACAGTCTCACTCTGTTGCCCAGGCTGGAATGCAATGGCGAGACCTGAGCTCACGGCAACCTCTGCCTCCTGGGTTCAAGTGATTATCCTGCCTCAGCCTCCCGAGCAGCTGGGATTACAGGCATGTGCCAACATGTCTGGCTAATTTCTATAATTTTAGCAGAGACGGGGGTTTCCCCATGTTGGCCAGGCTGGTCTCAAACTCCTGACCTCAGGTAATCCACCCGCCCTGGCCTCCCAAAGTGCTGGGATTACAGGCATGAGCCACTGCGCCTGGCCTACAATTTCTTTCAAGGTTGACTATTAAAGGGTTTTTAAAGCCCTGCCAACGCCAGCAGAAGCCTTAAGATGGTCCACTCTGTAAGGTACCCCAACAGGTTAGCATTCTGCACTCTACTCTGTACAGGATCATGGATAGGCCTTTGGTTAGAAAAACAGACAGGTGGCTTTTCCAAGAATCACAAAAAACAAGACATTCTTTGTTTCCTGCCGGAAGACATTTTTAGCATAATTTTCTTCTATAGACAAAGAGTGAGAGACCAAAAACCACGTCAAAGAGTGGGGTTTAAAAATGCACGAGCACCGCGCCCAGCATGAGCTGCATCCCCTTACCCCTCACAGGCCCGATGGAGTTGCTGAGAGCATAGCGCAAGATCCTCTCCTCCTGGTTGTACAGGACAAACACGCTGTCCACGGAGAGCTGCTGGGTGCTGGGCAAGGCCCGCCGGGAGTCATCGTGGACACATTCCTGGAAGGTGATGGTCTGGCGCCACTGGTAAGTGTAGATGCGTGAAGGAGCTGCCCCATCGCGCTCGGGCTCAGTCACCGTGTACTCCCGGGTGGAGGAGGAAGTGATCACTGCAGAGTGGGAAGGACAGAGGGGACAAGGCAGGGAGACAAAGGAAAGATGGTTAAGGATGCGAGAAGCTGAATCAAAGGCTTTAAAAGCACCTTGGCATTCCCTGCCCATAAGGCTACCAGAGGACCAATCAGACAGAACAGCTTAAATCAGACAATCTGTTTGTACTGGGACTCATTCTATGAAATACCTGGATTTCCCACATGATCATTGGTATTATTTGTATTGTTAATATTTGCTGCTTTTCTCATCAAGTGGTTCTCTGTAAGTTCTGAAGACCCCCAGAGCTAGAGATGAAGGTCCAGTGGAGAGAACACACACTTGGAAATAGACACCCTGAATTCATACCTAGTACCACTCACTAGCTGTGTGACCACTGGCTGGTTACTCAACATCTTTGGTCTCAGTTTCTTACACAAAACAGGTCAAGATGAGGATTAGACCAGGTAACGTATGTAAAATTTCTGGAATCAAGCAGGTTAATAGTAAGACAAATTTACTGAGTGAGCATTTACTCTGTCACAACGTGCTAACTGCTTTATATTGGTTATCTCAATTAGGATTCAATAAATGGTGATTT